AGAATATAGGTAATCTAAACAATATTTATAAAATTGTATTATATTTCCCACCAATTCTAACTAAATCTAGGTATTTATTACTAAGTTATTTAGGGGTTAAAGAATATTTATTGAAAAATTATGGAAAGAATACTCAATTTTTTATTGAGATTTTTAAATAATGTTGGCCTTCTTTAAATACCAAAAATATAACTACATTCTAAGACTTTCATTTGGTAGAACTATGGAGGATACTTTTTGCTCAAAATATAAGGTATGATATTTATTCCAATTCTATTTAATAACTACAAACACAAACACAAACATTTTAGAGAAGGAATGGAGGATTTAATAACTCATTAATATTTATATGATATAAAATCTGATTTGTGTCTACATAACATGAAACTATTAGGCAATTTCATTGATTAAATAGGAGCATTTTAGATTAACAACTTCAATATTGTTCTTTTAAATATTTGAGATTAAAATGTATTAAAAATGAGTCTATGTAACATGCAATATGATTCACTTAATTTGTTGTACCTATACCTAAGAAGCACAAAAACAACTACTGCATTATATTTATTCGGTGGCATACATAAATCAAAATATTTTCATTCCATATTATTACATAGGTATAGAACACAACCAAAATATATCCAAACACACTGAGTACAGTAACCAATGTTCCTAGTGAGAATACAATAAAAATAGTAATGGTAAGGGTGTATGGCTAACGGGCGCGTTAACACGACATCCAGTCGGAGGTGGTGCAGGTACTCACCACATATTTTCAACGGCGCCTCGAGCTCCAATAGTATGGGTTGCGATAGGAAGATCTCCCTGGACTTGAGGCACAGGCCTCTAATTTCACCTTCGGACAGCTGAACGTTCTTGCCAGGTCTCGCACCGCGCACTGTTGAACAGTTACAACAATTGTTACAAATGAATCGTCATCGGTCCCAGGGACCGACCGAAATTGGTACCCAAAGGCGGACGGCGGAACCGCGTTTCCGTCATGGCCCACCGGCGGCTTACCTTCCAAGAGTCTAGAAATTATGTTGTCGATGTTCAATTTGTCACTGTCTGTCATTATTTCGGCGTGCGCGGTGTGTGTGTGTCGTGATTATTGTCGTGCCGGAGTCCGTGGTCGTGGTGATAGTCGTAGCCGCCGCCGCCGCCGCACGATGCTCGATGGATCGGGTGTGATGTTAAACCGGCGTGCGAGGTCTGAGGTGCGTGCAATTGACGGAAATGATGCGAGCTGATGGTACGCGGGTTTGCCTTGCCGGGAGACGGATAAAATTAATAAAATAAAATATTTTTGTTTACGTTATCGCGACCGACGAAAAGGGAACGCCGTCGTACTCGTCCCGGGTATGTAAAGTGAAATGACTGAAATGGCGTAGTTCGGACGTTACGTCATCAACTATTTTTTTCCTCTCTCACCACCCTCCCACCACACCCGGTATCGTTTATTCTTCCACGACGATACCGAATACCGACCGTTTTTCAAATATAACACAGAACTATGATGGTGGGGTTTGTCGTCTGCCGTCTGGCGTCTGCATCTGCATTCTGCATGACTGCATCAATGCAGCGTCTTGCTCCTACTTTTTTTTAACGAATTTTTTGATTTTCTATTCCAAAGAAAATAATAAGTAAAAGAAAAATGGGTGTATAAAATATACTAGTTGATGTCGAGTAGCCACTGTTTTTTTGTTTAGGTTTACATAGGTGGCTTGGTTTAAACTTTAAACAATGAAAGCAACAATAGGCAACCGATACAGCAATATATAACAACCCGTTTAACGGGTCCAAAATGGATTAATGAGCAATGACCTTAAAAAATTTTTAAATTGAGATTTTTTCGCACAGCACCGTACTAGTGCAGAATATGTATATAATATTACACAATTATACAATGCTTAAAGAAACACAACCAGCACGAATGCACGATTCTAATCGGTTATAGTTTCGCATACGTATAGGTATCAAACAATATTTTTGAGTCCCATTTGGGAGTACCGCTTACTAACTTGAGACCCGCATACTGCAGATGGTTCTAGATTCTATTCAGCTTGAAAGAGTTTTTAAAGTATGGAAGTTTAATTTTAGGAATGGCGGCGTCGCGGAAGCATTGCGAAAGCAGTCCCCGCGGCGTCGTCGGTTTCAAACGGAAAAAAAAAAGTTTAATTTTAGGCATTCATTTTACCTCTCATACGATTACACTCCAGTCTCAAAGATTCTTGACCTCAAATCTTTAGCTGGATGCTAGATAAGACTCCTAAAGTGGTCGTTATTTAATGATAATATTGTCCCACCAGCTATTTTATCCCTTATAAACTTTTAAGTTACGAAGTTCTCTACCCGTACTTCTGTGTTCTTACCATGTCCTTTCATATTCCTCAATTTAAAAGAAATTGTATGAAAAACGAACCGTTAAGTGACATTATGTCTATCGCCAATGAGGGTCCCTCACTCTCTCATTTCCAGACTTCTAGTATAATAACCCTTACCGGTAAACTAATGTATAAATTGTGTAATCTCTTTTTAGCATTATTATTAATCAGTGGTATTATACTCATGGTGCGGGGGAGTGATGGGGCGATTATTTGTACTAATATATTGTATTATTTCTATTGACTATTCTTACTTAAACCTCAAATAAATTTGTATTATAGGGTACCGTCCGTTAATTATTTATAAATAAATATATTGTACATCGTAACATTCGTAACCCAGGCAGTAGGCACGATTATCCCCCCCCCCAAGTACCGAATTATATTCTCTTTTCCAAAAAAGAACGCACCTCGTCGCGCAGCGTTATCAGAGGCGGCCAGCAACACGCCTCTACCGCAAAATGAATAATTGCGGCTGAAACTGTCGGGACATGCGCACGTTTCGACCGGTTATCGTCCGCCGCCTGGTGCGTTCTCCCTTGGAATAGAGTATAGAAACTAATAATTAATCAGCACATTTTTCAAGCCTCAACCATTCTCAAAAGGGTTAATCACCCAAAAAATAAGAATTTACGTGGCTGTCGTAACCCCGGTCAGTGGACCGAGATGGCAACGAAACCGTATGAAAAATTATTATTTATTGTGAAATTGGGAAAGTATCATATAGAGTGATTCAAGTTGGTAAAGGACACCACACACGACACACTGCAGCGGTGGCGGTAAAATTCTATTGTCTTGGCGCGGTGGCGGTAAAATTGTGTCTGAACTCATTTTTCCGTAACCGCTACCGCGTTAAACCTATAACCTTAATCGGTTAATCGTACCTATTGTAGAGAGTTGTAGAGACTAGAGATCTCGTTCGTACTTAGGCTCTCTAATCAATAATCATAGTATCATACCGATCGGCGATCGGGACGGAGAATCGTGGAATGACCAATTAATGATAGAAAACCAATAAGCCATAGGGCGTAATATAACTAATAACCTATTGTCTATGACCCAAGTAGAAAACAGTTGACAGATTCAAACATGATTTTGGCAATAAACGAAAAACGAAACGTTTTCTTAAGCTCAACAATTTTCGGTAATTCAACCCTGGTTCTACCATTACTATAATAGTATAATAAATAATAATTGTCCAGTGTCCTGACTAGTATAATCCTACAAATTAATTTATACTACTTGCGTAGGGCGCGGCACCACAATAAATAACTATTTGGCAATAAGTTAATTTAGAATACGTTCTAAATCGCGAATTTAGATGACGTATTAAGGTATTTTTATAAACAAGCAGCAAGCACGTATAAATAATAATAAGTACCTACCTACTGTAATACGACTATTGTAATAATATTATTTATTTACAGTTAATTGTAACATAATATATTTATTATTTATATTGTCATTATTCGCAAAACGCAATCTTAATGACTGAGTGACGGCCGACGGGCGGGCACAGTGACAAGTAAAGCAATTATTATTCACATTACGCAGTTATTGTTTTTGTCGAGAAAAAAATTATCGTATGAAATTTGTTTTATTTTTTCAAGTATTTCGTGCTCCCAAATTTCATTAGCTTTTATGGCAGTAATGTAATAAAATAATAAACTATAGGTACGTCTGTAAATATTATACAAACCCAATAAATCTTATAACTTTCCAAATTTGGGTTGGATCTTGCATCCCTTAATTGCGTCAATGTAAGAGGGAACTATACAATTTAAATTAACTATTACCACAATGCTATTTAAAATTAGGGATAGGTAGGTCGAAATTACATTTTTACGAACCCAAACTTGTAAGAACTTAATTTTAAAATATAATAGTAGTAAAATTGTTTACATATACCAAAAAAAGAAATTATAAAATATGATTTCATACACAGAATATTTTGAACTTAAATATGCTCCAACTTCAATTGTTCTAAAGTGTTAAACCTTTGGTATTTTAAAGTTCAAGCCTTTAAGGTATTCCAAGATCAAAAACCCATCCCTAAATTTAAAGTCAACTAATAGATCTTGTTAAAAAGTCAAAACATAATATTAACTATTGATTTTATCTACCTATTGATAACTGTTTTTATCTTGTCATTGCAATTAACCTATTATTCAAAATGAATTAACTAATATAATATTATGTAAGAATTATAATATTTACACATCATATATTAATTTTACCATACAAATATTTCTCCAATGTATTATTTCTGAGCAATGAGCATTAAAATATAATACTATTAATCATAATATTATGATCTATTGAAGAATAAATAATAAAAATAATGTAGCCTTGACTTTTGAGTACATTATTTAATTGAATTTAACTACACACTTCCTTGTTTATTTAAGAAGATTTCAAATATAAACATACCTTCAAATTTCAATAAAAAAAATTACATATTCTATTGGTTGGATATCAGTATCAATATCCTATTAATTATTGATATTATAAAACTATATACAACAAAATAAGCATTAAAAAAAAAAAAAAAATGTTCAACAATAATGAAAATTGTTTTATTTTTACTCATATAATTATTTAAATACAATTACATTCTTAAACATCTTCTCCAAATTCTATATCAAATTGTTCTTTAGATATCTGAAATAAACATTCAAGTATTTAATAAGTAATTAAAAATAAAAAAAATTATTATATTTTATTAAAATGACCCCCACACATCTGTTGTCTCTTTTAGTATTTTACTAATGTCACATTTATATAATTTACCGGGCGCCGCCGTAACTGACCTAGGTTATTTTGTTATCTATTTACTAGAAATACAAATACCAGCATGTTACCCCATGTTGACAATATCACTGTTGAATGTTGTACAGAACCACTAAGTAACCCTCTCACATATGATAGTTAATCATTTTAATGTAAATATATTTTTAATTACTTATGGAACCAACATTTTAATTCACACTGTACATTTATTTTAGTATTCATGATAAATCATATTTATGTGTTATAAGCTATATGCAAGAAAAATTTTTAAATACATAGTCAGAATAGGCAGAATGATGTTTTAATGACTAGTTGTTTAAAAACTGTTAAAGTATTATTTGCCCTCTTTAAATGTGTTATATATTCATTACATTAATCTAAAATATGTATGATTTTAATTTGCAAGTTTATACGTAAAACTTTTTTGCCTTTTTATTAACGAGTTTATGACCTTTTAAACTGTATTTTAATAAGTTGATTACAACATTCAAAGTTTGTTGTTACACTGCCAATTGGCATTCATTTTTCTATTTCAAACATATAAATAGATCATTTTGCATTAAAAATTCTCAACAAATTATTACAGAAGTTTATTAAATTAAAAAAATATTTAGTTATTGTTTTTTATTGTATTATAGACCTATGCTGTTACAAAACTAGCTGAAATTAAAATTAGTTACAACTGGTTCTAACTACCAGGAAAATTCTTATTAAAATTTCATCACCATAACACATTTAACAGCAGGTGTATAAAATGATAGGATCATAAAGTATGGACACATTTGATAATAACCTATGCCAATTTGTAGAAAATTTTTTTAGAAAATCTTTTGAGTTTTTGGGAAGGATAACTTTTTTATCAATGAGTTATAAAATATTTTAGTTTTGTAATTACTAAATTTCACAATTAATTATATAATAAAATAAATGTTAACATACTATTTAAAAGCCATTTTCAAATTAAATATTTATTACATTTTATTGAGATCAATGTGTCCTCAGATCATTATCTTTAATTTTGATAGGAAATAGTACCGTGTATATCCAATACCATGCAATTCATTACAGATTTGAATAAAGTTATTTTATAAATAACTCATAATCAGTTTCTACTAAAATATTTTGAATGTGGTTTATAGTTTTTAATTTTTATACCTTATAGTTGCATAATACATTTATATATATTAAACATAATATACATGTATATTTCAGTAGTATATTATAAATATGTGTAAAACACTGTTCAACTTAAGAAACATACTCAGCAGCTGACTTGTGCGCAGGGGAACGTCTTACTACACTTCAGATGTACATATTGTTGATTTATAAGGGCAACACTCAGGAGTTGCCTGACAGCCATCTGATGAAGACTGTTTGTCACCAAGTATGTTTCCTAGTTTAAACATTTTTTTACCAAATAAATAGGATTTGTTCAAGAAAAGTGTAAACCATGGTTTAGTGTGTTTCAAACTTTCAACCCTAATGTTTCTACTAGCCACACAATTTTATTTTGTGATTTAAATATTTTAAAAATTACCTTTTTATTTTTAAATTTTTTCATTAAGGCAATATCTTTAGCTAAATCGTTCAAATCATCTTGACTGAAGGCCTGTTCTTTTCTTTTTTTTGCCTTAGCTTTTCCTTCTATCTCCATTTGTTTTCGTATTTCTTTTTTCTTTCTACGTTTTTCTCTTCTTTCGAGTTTTTTCTGTTTGGCGTCAGCCCATGCAACAGTTTGTTTCAACCCTTTTTTATGTTTCATTCCAAGCCAAACTCCAGTTTCCATGTAATTTTGTAACTTTTTTTGTCGGGACTCTTCTCTTTCATTATTTCTAATTTAAAGTATATAAAATATATATAGTCACAATGAAAATATTCAAATTATCTAGTCATCAGCTGTAAACAACTTACTGATATTTAATAGAATTGAAATCCATATCAACAGGAATAAAATCACTAGTATTCTTATTTTTTAATTCTGGCATTTTTGGGAGTCTTAAAAGACCAAAGCCAGTTGCAAGTTTACCAAATTCTAAATCTGTAAATAAAAAAATTATATTAACAAAAATGTTATTTCAATGCAATATAAAATAAATACATTTTTAATTATACACTGAAAACTTCATAGATATACAATTTTGCTAGTAAATAATAATTATTATTCAACCACTGGGCTACCAGTCGTAGCATATTAACTTTGATGCATTTCTATTTATACACTGTGCCAGGAGAGAACATTACCGTTTAGAGAATGCAGACTAACGGCAGACACCTTCCGAAGCACAATTTTCCCCACTTTGTGCTGCCACGATATAGGTTCTATATGTATATAAATTAAAGTGTCGAATAACGCCAAGATTTAATGAACGATTGTCGTTGAGTGGGGCATGCACGGATTCGGACAAGTTTTGGTCAGGTCACGGTAATGTTCTCTCCTGGAGCAGAGTATGCCTGCATTTAATGGTTGATAATATAAAGCCACTATGTCATGATATCACAATACGTGTAATTTGTCATAGCCAATTATAGCAAGTAATAAGTATTAATAGTAGTTTTAATATTATATTATTTCTAATAAAGCATCAGTCACAAAAATAAATCACCTTTTATACGTAATAGTAAATGGCATTCATGTTTTGAATAAGCTTGAATGTAAGACACAAATGCTTTATTAGCTTTATCAAATATTGTTCTATCTTTGAGTTGACGCTTTCTAACTTTTTCTACTACAAGATCCAAATTTTCAACTTCTAATTCAGGCATTAATTCCAATATTACCTAAGAACATTAATTATATACATGATATTTTAACACATTTTCTATGAGATTGGTTTCATTAATATGTTTACCTTTTGATTTGAATAAATAAAATGTATGTAGGCATCTTCATTTGGCATTAACATAACTAAGGAAGATCCACTTTTACCTACACGAGCTGTTCGACCAGCACGATGTACAAAAGAAGATGCATTATTAGGAGGATCATATTGAATCACCCAATTCACTTCTGGTATATCAACACCACGGGCCATTACATCTGTACATATCAAAATACCTAAAACAAATGCATTTTATATGTAAATAGTTAATACATAGTAACAAATTAAAAACAAGTAGTTAATATAAATGTCAAATAAAACAATTATTAGATATTTGTCAATGAGAGACAAAGCTTTTGTTTGATTTCTGTGATCACTGCGAACAAGTCATTAGCAAAATATCTGATGTTATATATCATTAGTAATTTATTAAATTTGTATATTTAATTTAATTTATTTTAATGTACAGACCACAGTTCAAAATACTGTAAAAATTATTAATTAATGAACCAGATGTCAAATATATTGGTAAATGAATTTCAGTTTCTACTTTAGTGAAAACGGTGTTCATAAATTCATATTTACCTCTTTCAGCTTTCCAAAATAACTCAAATATTCTGTAACGTTTATTATTCATTTTCCCGTGTAAGCTGAATAAATTTATTTCAGGAATCAAACTGTAAATTACAAAAATAAAAAAATTTAATATCATAATGGAAATGTATACCTACCAATATAATGACACAAGGTTCAAATAGTATTAATAATCATTGATAATTAATATTTACCTTCTTAAAATTATTGAAAAGTATTCAACACAGGCACACGTTGACAAAAACAACATATATTTTGAATTTAATCCATTTTTTTTTAAAAATGTTACTAAAAATGCTAGCTTTTTATCCGCATCACATATTGTATAATAATTTTTTAATGCTAAAGGTGTAGATATAGATTCAATTTGATTGCTAAAAATAAATAATTACTTATTATCATAGCATAAGATTTAATAATATTATAAAATACCTTTTTGGGTTCAAACAATGTTTTTCCTTGACAATAACCATGATAGGATTTCTGAGTCCTGCCTTAACAAGCATTGCTACCTGTTTGGTTTGAGTTGCTGAAAACAACCCTGTTCTTCTCTGTGTAGGCAAATATTGTAAAACAGTATTTATAGGCTTTTCAAAACCTAATTCTAACAACTTATCAGCTTCATCTAACACCAGCATTTCCTATTAATAAATTCAAAGTAATTCAATAGTTCTTCTAATGAAAGCATAACTTAAACTTCTTACCAATGATTTAAGTGATTTGTGTAAATGAAAATTGGGTATCTTTCTAGTTAATAAATCTTCCAGTCGTCCAGGAGTAGCTACAAGAATATTTGCTCCATTTTTATTAAATGCTTTGACATCAGTTTCTATTGGACTGCCGCCTAAAGTTAGCATCTGTGTAACACCTTCTATATTCTTTAAAAACTCAGCTAATACATGACTGGTTTGGGTAGCTAATTCTCGAGTAGGAGATATTATAAGGCCTCCCACTTCATGCTTTTTCAAAGGATCGCTGCGTTTCTGATCACACAATATTTATGTAAGTATCATAATATAGATACAAAGGAACATACCATATACTAAAATTATTTTAGAGACATGAAAAGTAAAACTTACTAAAATCAATTCTAGCATTGGCACTAAAAATGCCAATGTTTTTCCGCTACCGGTGACTGCTTCTGCAGCTACATCTTTTTTTTTTTCTAAAAAATTCTTTATAGATTCGACCTAAAATAATAAATCTTTATTTATTCAATGTTTCTTATTTTTGTTATGTTGCAAACTATTACCTGTATCGGTGTCATGCATTTAAATTTGAAGTGTTCTTTGATTGTTTTTAGAACAGGTTCGGACAAATTTAAAGATTCCCATTTCAAAGATGGTGCTAAAGACATACTTACATGTCTTTTATAAATAAATATTAGTAGAAATTAGTATTAAATTCTATTATTTATTACAGAAATATAGAATAGTCAGAATAGTGATTAATACTACGATTACTGTCATTTGCCATATCTCGTCAGCGGCACACGTGTTGTTGAAATACATTTTTATCACGGATATCGGTGTTTCTTATCATATTGTAATGTTTTTATTTATCAGTGGATGATATCACATTATCACCAAATACCATTCACAAATAAATAGCAATAGCAAGGAACTATTACCACAATATCACATATTGTACCGCCCGGCGCCCGGTACTGGAGCCGTGATGGGGACAGGACAATTGCCATTGCCATTCACTTGTTGCAGTCTTTTTGAATTGTCTCTGCACGACCCCAAATAGGGATGTAGTGGGCGAAGCCTCCACCAACAACTTTAACAGCCCTCCCAAACATATACTTCATTTTTTTAAGCTTATTCAATTTTATAATAATATGGTTCCACTGTTTCAGGCTTAAGCATCCCCAAATCTCAGTATTTGCGCCTATCGTACCCAGGGCTTAAAGTGGAAAAAAATCCCAGGGGGGACTAACGTCTCCATATAGTTTTAAGCGTTCCATATATCGTTTTATGTACCTATAATGTATTAATGTCTAATGCATAATATACATATAGCCATAGTGGGTACATATAATTTATAAACAATGATTGTGTAACATACTCATCCCACATTGAATCATGAATAATGGTCAAATTTTTAATTTATTTTATGAATACCTAATACTACATTTCGCGGTCAACCAATCACACCCTCCAACCTTGTAGTGTCCAGTCCTGTATATCATAGTCCGTGGTAATCACGGTTTTAATCTCAACGGAATTCTGAATTATATTGAATATTGATATAATTGGTTATAATTGGAGCGTTCCGACGTACTTTAAGAATGATTTTTTAAAGGGGACGCTTTTTAACCACCATTAGAGGTAGGGGGACTGAGTCCCCTTGCGTCCCCTCCCCACTTTAACCCCTGATCGTACCTACCCAAGCATAATATTTGATTTTATTATGATTTTTTCCGAAAATTGTACGTACTTTTAAGTAAAAAAAAAAGGAGAGCAAGTTATTGTCACTCTGCTGTACAGTATAGATTACAAGTGGGTCACTGCACAGAATATAACAATAAAGTAATTTATGTATAACCTATTTACATGGAACCTTGTTTTAAATTTTCAATCCTTAGCAATAAAAGTTGAATATTTTATACATTTTTAACTACAAAATAATTATTAAATTTTAAATTTGATAAATTTTGTCAAAACTCGAACTTTAAATGCTTATAAAAAATCGTGGCTATGTATTTTTAATATTTTTCAACTGCTACCTATTGTAATAATATATGAGGAGCTTTGAAATTGGAATGAGTAACAAGTAACAACATAATATTTGAATCATTGATCTTATAAATTATACTTTCACTTTATTTATAATTTTCTTTTAGTTCTCCGTGTAATTCTGTGTTTTCCATTGGGTGTGAATTGTTGTTCGATCTAATCGTTCTAGCCATGTATTTAAGAGATATGTTGGTACTTTTTTCCCGGGTATAGGTTCTCCAGCGACCAGCTATATTAGGTGAACATGGGGCAAAGTGCCAAGTGGGGACATTGTATTATCTATTTATTTAATGTAAGCAATTGATAATATTATTAGATTTATGGCTTCCTTGGTCGTCTGAGATTGTGTGGTAGAAGCACGAACTAAGATCTTAGTTCGTGGGTAGAAGTTTTAAATCAAACTAGCGTTATGTCTTATATTGCAATTAATCAGTGAATACTGGACATATGCCTATTATAATTTACTTGATAATAGAATTGCATAATTTGTTATTTATATATTCAATTACTTTGGGCTTTGTTATTAATAATTTTTTTTTTTATTAAAAAGTCTATGTTGTTTGTTCAATGATTAAAGTTCTTTATTTATGTTTAGGTATTTAAATAAAATAAAACCAATGGATCTAGGTAATTTAATTATTTGGGGCAAAGTAGTTTACCTGTCTTTGGCAATGTGGGAACGGTTGTAGGAAAAAAAAACCAAGGAAAAAAAAACCACGAAAAAAAAAACCAAAAAATAAAAACCAAAACAAAAAAAACCAAATGAAAAAAAAGGTGGGAAAGTGGGTGTCGCTCTGCTGTACAGTAGGTTACAAGTGGGTCACTGTATAATGGATGATATTAAATTTGAATTCAACGATATAATATCATTGTATAAGAAAAACGATTCTGAGCGGAGACGGTATGTCAGTCTATGTTTAAGACATATTATATACATATCTATGGTATTAAACAAAAAATTGACCTATAATAGGTACCTATAATAAATTCCAAATTAATCATATCACAATATCCATTAGATACTTATAACGCGTTAAACATCAACAAAAACCGTGATACTATCATAGATATATAATAGTACACTTTAGGAGTTTCAAGTACCCACGAATAGTATTATTCAATCACAACAAAATAACTAAAATCGTAATTCTTGGTTTAAATATGAAATTTTGTCTAAATTTGAAATTAAAATGTCTGTAAAAAATAAGTGTGTTTATATATTTTTTAGATTTTTTGGTTACAGTATGAATTATTTAAGAGAATCTTTGTTTTAAATTTTCAACTCTTAGCTATAAAAACTGAACATTTTATAATTTTTTAATTCCAACGATTGATAATTTTCGAGATTTTGATAAATTTTGTCAAAATTCCAACTTTAAATGCTTATAAAAAAAAATCGTGCCTATGTATTTTTAATATTTTTCAACTGATATTGTAACAATTTATCAGGAGCCTTGTATTAAATTTTTACACTTTTTGGCCCAACAGATAAAACTTTATTGATATTTATAGAAAAAAAAACTAAAAAAAATTGAAAGCTGTAAATGTCCATAAACAGCTCAAAAAGAGTCAAAATATTTTCAAAATTGTATGGTGTATATGAAATGCTAATATAAACATTCAGTGAAATTTTCATGTATCTACAGTTATTCGTTTTTGAATTACAACAAACTAAGGAAATCGCTACATGAGAAATCGAGTGAAAATCCAATGTTGTAAAAATTTGAATTTCAAACGCTCATAAAAATTTAATTTGACTGTCCGGTAGAGATTTTTTTATTTATAAAGGTAGATAATCTTATAAGGAATCTTGTGTTAAATTTCCAAATCTTAGATTTAAAAAGAAAAATTTTTACGAATTCTTAACTCAAAATAATTTGCTAATTTTCGTGATTTTTCCATATTTTGTCAATTTTTGAACTTTAAGTGCTTATAAAAAAAAATTGTGACTAAGGATTTTTAATATTTTTCATCTGCCTTTGAAACAACATATTAGGAGCCTTCTATTAAATTTTCAAGCTTTCGCAACCAACAAATAAAATTTTATTGATATTTCTAGAAAAAAAACTAAAAAAAAATGAAAAATGAAAATGTCCCTAAACAGTTCAAAATAAATCAAAATATTTTGAAAATGTTATCGTGTATAGAAAATGCAAATATAAACAACCAGTGAAAATTTCATGTATATACGTTCATTTGTTTTAGAGTTACACCAAAAACCAAAATCGATTTTTTGGAAAACCAATTTTGCGTAAAAATTCCCGTTTTTCCTTAATTTTTATGTTGTTTTTCCCGGCGCTTGTGAAAACTACTGGGAAATTTATACTTTTGACCCCCCAAAGTACCAACTAGATTCACTTTCCTATCAGAAAAGCTACTGATGAAGAAAATCCAAGCACTTTTACTGTCCTAAAACGTGATGACAGACACAAAAATAAAAAAAAAAATAAAAAAAGGTGGGCAAGTGGGTGTCGCTCTGCTGTACAGTAGGTTACAAGTGGGTCACTGTATAATGGATGGTATTAAATTTGAATTCAATGATATAATATCATTGTATAAGAAAAACGATTCTGAGCGGTGATGGTATGTCAGTCTATGTATAAGGCATATTATATACATATCTATGGTATTAAACAAAAAATTGACCTATAATAGGTACCTATAATAAATTCCAAATTAATCATATCACAATATCCATTAGATACTTATAACGCGTTATACATCAACAAAAACCGTGATACTATCATAGATATATAATAGTACACTTTAGAAGTTTCAAGTACCCACGAATAGTATTATTCAATCACAACAAAATAACTAAAATCGTAATTCTTGGTTTAAATATGAAATTTTGTCTAAATTTGAAATTAAAATGTCTGTAAAAAATAAGTGTGTTTATATATTTTTTAGATTTTTTGGTTACAGTATGAATTATTTAAGAGAATCTTTGTTTTAAATTTTCAACTCTTAGTTATAAAAACTGAACATTTTATAATTTTTTAATTCCAAAGATTGATAATTTTCGAGATTTTGATAAATTTTGTCAAAATTCCAACTTTAAATGCTTATAAAAAAAAATCGTGCCTATGTATTTTTAATATTTTTCAACTGATATTGTAACAATATATCAGGAGCCTTGTATTAAATTTTTACACTTTTTGGCCCAACAGATAAAACTTTATTGATATTTATAGAAAAAAAAACTAAAAAAAATTGAAAGCTGTAAATGTCCATAAACAGCTCAAAAAGAGTCAAAATATTTTCAAAATTGTATGGTGTATATGAAATGCTAATATAAACATTCAGTGAAATTTTCATGTATCTACAGTTATTCGTTTTTGAATTACAACAAAATAAGGAAATCGCTACATGAGAAATCGAGTGAAAATCCAATGTTGTAAAAATTTGAATTTCAAACGCTCATAAAAATTTAATTTGACTGTCCGGTAGAGATTTTTTTATTGATAAAGGTAGATAATCTTATAAGGAATCTTGTGTTTCATTTTCAAATCTTAGATTTAAAAAGAAAAATTTTTACGAATTCTTAACTCAAAATAATTTGCTAATTTTCGTGATTTTTCCATATTTTGTCAATTTTTGAACTTTAAATGCTTAT